TAACAAGAAGTCTCCTAGACGTCGAATCGAGGGTTTATGTCACCTAATAGTGTTTAATATGCCTCACCTTGCAAGAAATAATGATTTTTCATTATTTGTGTTTTTAGTGAGGGCTTAGGCTCCTATATTAGGGTTTAGTGCTTCTTAAAATTGATACATTTAGTCAAATCAGTTGTTTTTAAAATCATTCAATATTTAATTTTGTGAGGGTTTAGGTTTCCATATTATGGTTTAGTATCCCTTGAAATAGACAAATTTAGTCAAATCGATCGTTTTGTATCATCAATATTTATGTACATTTGTGAGGTTTTAAGCTCTCATATTAGGATTTAGTACCCATAAAATTGATCATTTTAGTCAAATGAGTTTTTTTATTGTTGGTGCATAAAAGTCTCAATCTCATAAGATCTTGAGAAGAAACTACACATGTGTAACAGTGTTAGGTAATTTTTTTTAATTAAAAACAGATTTTAAAACTCCTCTTTTTGTTTTTGTTTGTACCTTACTTAACAATTTTTTTAGCGATGAACGTTGTCAGTTAAGCAACATATCCTTGGCTATAACTTTTAGTTTTCGTCTTGGCTATATGTGAATCTTTGTGCTATATATTTTGAGTAAAACAAATTTATGTGATTGAATTACTTGGAAAGCCTATGAAAATCGATGAATGCGTTGGTTTTGATCTATATTGCATTTCTTTGAGTTTGATATGTTTTTTCTAACTCTATTTACTCTCGGAAATAAGACTACATGATGGCTCTTAGAAAGTATTGCAAAGCTTTGCTCTTTATGTCTATTTTTTTGGGAGAAAGAGGGCATTGGTGAATGTGGTTCATAAGTTTTCTGATAATAAGGGCCGATTGACATCCGTCATTTACTGAGTATGAGGGAATATTGATATTGTGCATACCATTGTCATGCAGTCAATTCTCTACTTATGATCTTGCAGAGACAAGAACTAGATTGCGTAAGACAAAGTCGTATCTCTTTACTAACAGTGTTGTAAGTTCATTCTCTTTTACTCTTTTTAGTTCCAGATGTCATACAATTTTGCGAAAATCATCTTCTAAAAATAATATGTTTTCAAAATATAATCTATTTGGATCATCT